TGAAAGGAATCGTTGCAGCAGGTGGAACATGCAACAGATTTCATCCAGCTTGTCGTTGGTTCTTTCGGCTGTAGAGGAAAGTTACGGATTGGCCACTCCGACAACTTCTCTAGAACGCTTGAACTGAAGTTTAAGATGACGTGGGCGTAGTTGTATAATTGGATGTTTTGATTTACGGTCGAAACAAGAGTTTGACAACCAAAAAGGGGATTTAACAAGCACCAACAAAACCACGCCTCGCGTCAGATCTGGAAGGTTCTGACTGGATCCAAAAAGGGAATGTGTCACGTGATTTTAGCATTACGTGTGATCAGTTTCTAGTGGAATTATTTTAAGTTATATTACTTACTATGTTCTATCATAGGATTATACTATCAAGTAATTAATATTTTCATTTCACAGATTGATTGAACATTGGCTTCACATGATTATTTGGACTAACAAAGTTACTTGATTACTTTTTAAGTAGAAAGAGTTCTGTCTTCTTTTCTTCTTTCTTGTGCTGTTTGGAGAAGCAATAGTTTAGATACCGTAAATCCTCTGATACAGGCCCGGGCCTGTAGTTGACTCAAGCTCATCAAGCTCCAGGCCTTTATTGGAAGGAGGACCAGAATTAGAGGCAGGCCTCAATTTCTATTTGAGCAAAATGAACTAATGGTTCACTGGAGTTTTTGACAATTAAAATTGCGCCCACATTTTCAAAGTTAAACACATTTCTTTTAACAACGGTAGTTTCTGCTTCAGCCCTCTCCCCCCTCCCCCTGCGCAGCGGCTGCAAACTCACTGATGCACCTGCAGCCTCTCGAAGTTCCTGCTGCTCTAAACATTAAAATAATTATTTCATTTTCTGTTCCTCACTTCTGATTACCTTCAATGGTGTCTGTTTGTTGCAACCACCAGGTACAAAAACTAACTTGTTTTTATTTGACTATTTTTCTGTCCTGCCTGTTTATTATCTTCCTGCTTCTCCTCTCAATCCTAAAGAAAAACTGCTACCTGGGTTCATATATATTCACCTCATGAGTTACCTTTGAACTGCAGTTCTAAAAGATCTACCGACCGCAAAAACAGCGGAGTGCTCGCCGGTCGCATCAGTTAGGTGCGTCACCGAGGACAAAACGGGTGATGCGCCCCGATCCACAGCAGCGAAAGGCATCAGGCACAAATAAAAGAATAAAAGACAGAAAACATAAAAGGAAATGAGCCGACATGAACGATCGCGTGTTAAATTAGTTTTTGAGGTGGCGACACCTGATTTGATAATGTTACTGTGGCCGTGCTCAGGACGCAGATGTCTGGAGCGCGTCAACAATCAGAGCTTTGCATGCGCAAGCTGGTTAAGGTTAGGATGGGGGTGAGGGGAAGGTTAAATTGGGTAAACGTCACAATTTGGTTAAATGTCCGTTTTACGGCGGGTGTCAGTACCGACGCTCTGGCACAGCGCATTGCCTCCTGATGCGCAGGAGCTTGTCACCTGCTGACAGCAGGCTGCTGTCTTTTCTGTGGACTGCATCTTGCCGGTCATTATCACGTGACAGCGACTAGTCGATGACAGGCATAAAAAGTCACTATAGAGCAGTGAAGTCGACTAGTGACTAGTTCATACAACCCCTACTGCTCCCCGGAGTGTTCTGCAGCATAATCAGCACGTTCTCTTTGAACTTGATATCAAATTTTCACCTCCTCTTCGTCTCCGCATGGTTAAAGTTACCCTCGCGGTCTATCACTGGCAAATCAAAAGTGAGACGATGACACAACCGCCCCCCGTACTTGCTTGTTACCACATTCCACCCGGCCACAATAAAAAACTGGCCATTATTCACCTCCGCCGACTCCAAAATATGATACTCGGCAGTTAATGAAATACAGGCTAATATTAGAGGATTTACGGTAAGCACAGAGCATAAGTGACCTTGACCCATCCTTGTAGATTAGGTTTGTGTAAGAAACTTCTGGTTTTGCTTTGAGCAGAGCAAAACAGAGCAGGGCCTTTTAGGTCAGAAATGGACAATTCATCACGCTACAAAACTGTTTTAATTCCTACACCGTTCACCTGATTTGGATGTAAATACCCTCAAATAAAAGCTGACAGTCTGCAGTTAAAGCACATCTTGTTTGTTTCATTTGATATCCATTGTGGTGGTGTATAGAGCCAAAAATATTAGCATTGTGTTGATGTCCCAATATTTATGGACCTGACTGTAAGAGCTTGTGATTTCTGGGCCAGAACTTTTTGGGAAATACTTTTTGTTTTGCTGTTAACCAGAAAAAAATCAATATCAATTTAATCTGTGTCTCTTCAACAAAGAGATGAAATTGCTTTGGGATGTGTTTAGCCTTGCATAGCGACGTGAGAATAAGGGGAATAAGGGTTGAGAGTCCCAGTAAAAACTGTACCATAACCTTACTGCAGCCTTCAAGATGTCATATTTACAGGATTCATCCACACCAAATGTACGCAAAATAGAATATTATGATGAGATTGCCTGATTAAATTATAAACATTTGCTATAAAACTCAATAATAATTTAGGCTTTAGTATTGCAATGATAGAAGCTCTGATAAAATGGCTAAATTCATGTATAAACTACATGGGAAGTGCAAATAAAGGAAATGTTAATGCTGCAGCATGTGGCTCATTAGTATTAACATAGTTTATGAGGCAGACAGACGAAAAGCAAATAAATTAACCCTCAGACAAACAAACAAACAAGAAACTAAGTTGAAATTAAAACTTCTGAATTTTGAGGTTGGAGGTTTTGGTTGCCGCGCATTTCTGTTGTTAAAGGTGCAGAACTCTAAAAACTATATTTGAAATTATTATTCTCTGATTATAACAACTCACTGAGTTTTTTATGCAGGCTGAACATGAAAATAGTCTCCTACACCTACCTCCTGCATTAGCTTCTGATGGAAAATAGACGGTGAAACTCTAGGATTTTAAAAGCCTTATAGATCTACGTCACACTGTCAACATTCATGGATTCACCCGTCTTGATTCACAACGGGGAAGGCTGTTGTTGGTTTAGTGTCCAGGAAACAGCAGAGAACGTCTCGGCTAGTAGAAGCTAACCGTTAGCGTTAGCAACTCCACCACACAGCAGAACTCATTCAGGCTTGATGGAAAATAGACGGTGAAACTCTAGGATTTTAAAAGCCTTATAGATCTACGTCACACTGTCAACATTCATGGACTTGCCCGTCTTGATTCACAACGTGGAAGGCTGTTGTTGGTTTAGTGTCCAGGAAACAGCAGAGAACGCCTCGGCTAGTAGAAGCTAACTGTTAGCGTTAGCAACTCCACCACACAGCAGAACTCATTCAAGCTTGTGTTATAAATAATGGGTGTGATAAAGCATCCATGTTGCAGAGCAGAGTCAGTGGCGGAGCTGTGTTGGTGATAGCCAATCACAGGGGAGATGTCCAGATATCAGGAAATAAGACTCCAAATCCTGTCATCCTCATTTTTACTTCCTGAAACAGGTGCTCCGGTGCTTTTTTTTCCCCAAGAATAACTTACAAGGCATTCATTCCTACTGGAGATCAATTCAAATGTATTGATTAAACAAGTAAACCACACCTTTAATATTAAAAAATACCTTTCACACGCACAATGAAAAAAATGTATAGTTTCATTTTGCAACAATTTTGGAAATTTTAAATGGTCCAGATGAACATTTAAAGGGAAAATAATCCAAAATCCTGAAATTTCAATTGCAATTATGTAAAAAATAACAAAGTTACCAAAAATGCCGGTTCAGTCGCCTGGAGTTCAACTTCCTGTGACCTGTTCAAACTTTAACTGATGTTTCTGTTGTGATTTCTGTGTGAGCTTTACAAAAATATCAGGGCTTTCTCATTTGTTTCACCTAAAATCCATTGCTGTGGATGTGGAAATAGCATTCATTGAACAAGTTTTAAATATTCTACTTGCAGAAGGTAACAAACTGCTACCAAAAGTTATAGCACACCAATTCAATCTGAGCAGTTCCTTTTTGAGTTTTTAAGTTTGAATTTTCCAGAGATTCAGGGTAGGGTGAGAAGTCAAAATCAGTTAATTGTATTATTCATTATTATTATTATTATTATTATTATTATTATTTTTTTTTTTTTTTTTTTTTTTTTTTTTTTTTGAGGTATTTCAGTGTTTATTAAATGGCACCCATGGTTGTTGTTGTTTCCCGTTCTCATTTAAGATACAGGCTATTATTTTTTGTTTGTTTTTATGTCACATGGCTAGGCTCTGGTGTGTAAAATCTGATTAGTCTTTATCTAAACAGATTTTCTCTGTTCAGAAAGCAGCTCATCCATGGTTTTTTGAATAAATTGATGCTTTTGTTTATCACTGAGCTCAAAGCCCTGTGGAGGGCGTTTTATTATTATTTTTGTCTGGAGCGTGATTGCAGCCTGAAGGGTGTTGAAGAGCGAGCTGATTTAATTGATGTTCAGTAATCAGAGCATCATGTGACCACTCCCACTGAGTGAGAGCAAGGAACCAGAAGGGGAAAATATAACATCACTTCATTAGAGCATGACAGGTCTCCAAAGTTTGCCTTATACAAAACACGCTTTGCTGCTTTGTTGCCTTTTTGTGCTCCAGCTGCTGTCATCAGCACAAGTGTATACGGGTCACTCACCTTCTAAATCTCCATAGGAAGATCTATGACTTGTACATTTTAAATAGGCTACTTCCCCTTGTGTCCTTCATGAAAACAGATCAGCGTTTCCCTGGGGGAATGTGATCGCCTGCACCCGAAGGACACTCCTGTTTTCTTGAAGGGCCATCTTGATGTTTTACATAATTTTGACTCTCGAGGGTGGAATGTTGCCTGTGGGAAGAAGGGATTACAGCAGGTGGTACGAATATGATGCAGCTCAAGCAAAAGAGAAAGATTCAGGACAAGCTGGTACTCATGAAAAATGAGATAGGGAAGAGGAAACACTTCCCTTTCTTCTGCAAGAACCTCTTCTTTTCATTCTCTTTGTGTTTTGTGTTTTAGGCAGATGCTTTGCATTCAGAGGGGAGCGAGGGAATGATGAGCCACCCATTGAAATGATTAAAGTATCTCATCTCAAGTGAGTACAGGGATCTCCCCTGTGGAGAAGCCAAATACCGACCGTCACTTGAGACCCAGATTTGGTGTTTACCTGTCTGTATGCTTTTCACATTTGATGTATTTAAATAAATTCACATATAGTCAGTGAAAAATATGTGTATATAGACTTTAGTTCCGTCTTTCTGTCTTGTCACAGATTATAATAAGCTTTGCATCTGCGTTAAAAGAAGATATATCTATGTCTATGGTTAAAGTAAGAATATGTGAATAATGTTCTGAAGTGTAACACATCTTAATCTGCTGATTTATCACTGGAAAACCAAGCTTCCATTTGCTTAAGAGGAAAATAAACAAAATCATCAGATTCATATGTGTATAAAAACAAGATAACACTTTTTTTCACGGTTGAGAAGTGAAGCCATGAAGCCCTGTCCACAGCTGCTGCCATGTTGTACTTGAAATGAGTGGGACTTAAACTGCAGCCAGCCACTAGGGGGCTCTTTTCTTTTGTTTCGTCCTCAACATTGGGGATCTATTTGGAAGACTAGTAAATATATTCAGCCTTTACTGTCATCAGTATCTCAGAGGAACGTAGCAGAGGGCAATGTTTTCATTTCTAGCCCTTAGCAAATTGATGATCTGTTTCATAATGTTACTTCTTCTTTACATGTGGCATTAGATGGTGTTGCCCCTTTAAAAAAGAAGGTTTAAAAAGAAGGTAATTAAGCACAGGAAGTTGGCTCCCTGAATTTATTCTGATCTGCGTTTTAAAACAAAATTCTTCCATTCTAGATGTAATCAATCTATCTTTAGTAAATGGATACGTACCACAGGATTTTAAGGTTGCTGTAATCAAACCTTCACTTAAGAAGCCTTCTCTGGATCCAGATGACCCAATGAATTACAGACCAATATCTAACCTTCCATTTTTATCCAAAGTCCTGGAGAAAATAGTGGCCATCCAAGTATGTGAGCATTTAAACACTAATGATCTGTTTGAGGAATTTCAGTCTGGTTTTAGAGAGTATCACAGCACTGAAACTGCGTTAGTGAGAGTTACAAATGATATTCTCATGGCCTCAGATAAGAATCTTGTGTCTGTTCTAGTCTTGTTAGATCTCAGTGCTGCCTTTGACACAGTTGATCACAATGTTCTTTTAGAAAGACTTGAACATGTTGTAGGGATCAAAGGAACAGCGTTAGGCTGGTTTAAATCCTACCTTTCTGATAGATATCATTTTGTAAACATACATGACAAATCGTCTTCGTACCCCAGGGTTACATGTGGAGTACCACAAGGTTCAGTGCTTGAACCTATTCTTTTTACTATATATATATATATATATACACACACACACACACACACACTTCCAATTGGTAACATCATTACACAGCATGGGATAAACTTCTATTATGCTGACGATACTCAGTTATTTTTATTCATTAACCCTGATGAACCTAACCAATTAGGTAGATTACAGGCTTGCCTTGAAGACATAAAAATGGGATGACTCTAAACTTTCTGCTTTTAAATCAAGACAATGCTGAAGTGAGTCATGGAGGATGGCTGCTTATACTGAGCCAGGATTCTCTGGAGGTTTCTTCCTGTTAAAAGGGAGTTTTCCTCTTCACAGTCGCTAAATGCTTGCTTAGTATGAGGATTGCTGTAAAGACTCTGACACTAGTCAGTGACTCGATGCAACCTGCTGGGTTCCTTATATAAGAAACTTTTTACTGATTGGCTTAATGAACTGACCTGTATTGGAATGTTTATTGTGTGAAGTGCCTTGAGACAACTCTTGTCGTGATTTGGCGCTTTATAAATAAACTGAATTGAATTGAATTGAATTACAACTATTGTAAACATCCCTGGCACATCCTGCTGTTGCTAGCACTTGCAATGAGCTAATGCTAACACAAGCCAGCTAATGCTGAATAAGCCACAAAGTCAAAGATCCAGACATAAAATATAATTATAAGTCTAATAGCTACAAAGCCAGGTCACCATCAGTCTGTGATTTTAGGACCTCCTGTAGTTCCTTCAAATTAGCATAGGCCGCGCCGATGTTCACCCTGATTTTAGCTATTTGCTCCGCCTCCAAAGACATTGCTATCATACTTTTACTTCCAGGCTCCGCCATGATGCCATTAAAAAACTAAGCCAAATTTATCTTCCTCTTCATGTGATTTCATTGACTGTTTGTTAGCTGAAAAAGCTAACTGCTAGCCTTTGTATTTGCTACAGGCAGGTAAAGTAGGTAGAGACCTCCCACTAGTGTTCTTACGTGAACCACAAAACTGTTAAGTGCTGTTTCTGGTCAGCAGAGGGTAATCCAATATGAAGTTTATGGTTCAAGAACCAGAGAAACCAGTTTGAAAGCAATAGCTTTAAAGTGTTAAAAACTCTTTAGTGTTGGTGAAGTCTTGAGCCTTTAATTTACGAAGTAACACAACTGATGCATTTAGATCCTTATGTGCCAGCCGCTGAACATCCCTTAGTGCTGTAACGCAAAACAAACTTTGACTTGATTCTTCCACTAGTTCTTTGCTTTCTAAATTAACAGACCACACTTTTTTATAATCTTCAAATCTTATGCTTTGTCCGATCGCAGATATATTTTGTCTGTTTGCATAAGGTAGTGCACTGTTTCAATTTGCTTTCTTGTAAATTCTTACATTTTCCAGAACGGATATCAGCCCACGGCACATTTACAGTTATTGTTCATTCATTTGTACTGTCCCCCATTACAGTAGATAAATGACAGTATATATATATATATAGTGCTATGTATTGTTGAGACTATACGTGTGTGTGTGTGTTTTCTTTCCAGACAGTATCTGGTGGTGGTGTTCAGAGACAGACCCTTGGAGTTGTGGGACATCAGGACAGGAACACTCCTCCGAGAGATGGCCAAAAACTTTCCCACTGTTACTGCACTGGTACCAACAAATACACACTTTTATGACATCTGAGTCATTTTACCAATTTATAGATGAAGAAAAACACAAGAAAACCGGCTCTGCTCTCAGTCATCACTTTATTGGTCTACTTGGACCTGGAAGATGACTTTCGAAACTTTATTTGTCCAAAACGTCAGACTTTAAACAAAATTAATTATACCAGTTATTGCCACCTGGAAAATTCATTACCTGTTAATACTGACTAAGTTCCACGAAGTGATGCATTATGTGTTTTTCATTCAGTCATGTACAAACATGCATGGTTAAATTGGTGCTGCATCTGCAGTGATGCGGGCGTTGTACCGGTCCGTCGTGGTGAAGAGAGTCAGAAGGCGAAGCTCTCGATTTACCGGTCGATCTACGTTCCTACCCTCACCTATGGGCTTTGGGTAGTGACCAAAAGAACGAGATCGCGGATACAAGTGGCTGAAATTAGTTTTCTCCACAGAGTGGCTAGGCTCTCCCTTAGAGATAGGGTGAGAAGCTCGGTCATCCAGGAGGGGCTCGGAGTAGATTCGCTGTTCCTCCACATCGAGAGGAGCCAGTTGAGGTAGCTTGGGCATCTGGTCAGGATGCCTCCCTGGTGAGGTTTTCCGGGCATGTCCAACCGGGAGGAGGCCTAAAGGTTGACCCAGGACATGGTGGAGGCACTATGTCCCTCACTTGGCCAGGGAACACCCTGGGATTCCCCCGGAGGAGCTGGCCCAAGTGGCTGGGGAGAGGGAAGTCTGGGCCTCTCGATTTAGGCTACTGCCCCCGCGACCCGACTCTGGATAAGTGGATGAAAATGGGTGGATGGATGGAATGGTTAAATTGCCTTACTGAGTGTTTAGTTGTCATCAGATCAAATGTGGGGCTTTGAGGTACAGAATGGTGTGGCAGTGGTTTTCCACTAATTTTATTATGTAGTTCTTAACCTTAGCCACAACAAAATCTTAAAGATGTGACAAAAGTGTATTAATCTGAGATTTAACGACAGTTGATGCTGTTTGAATGAGATGCTGTCACAGGGAGGACCTGAGCTCAGGCTTGACTTTCCATCACCTTTCATGTCTGCCCATGAATTTAAAATGCCGCCTGTGTTGTAGAATTAACCATTGTGGACACTGGTGATAGTCTCCTATACTTGGTACTTGTGCGGGCCAGTTTACAAATTAGTTAGAAAAACTTTACCAGCCTCAGCAAAGATTCCAGCGAGGCTCCATTAGAGCAGAGGAACTCCCGTAAAGAAGAGTTATACTGGACCAACTTCACAGGAGGGTCATAAAGTCTTCCCCAGTGCAAATAAAAAGAGCCAATAAACTTAATAATCATGCCTGCCTCCCCCAGCCCCATATTGCTGTCTCATTTCCATATTGATGATCGCTCTGGGTCATACAGACTACAGCCACTGTACTGCAAAAATGCCAAGCGACGCAACTGTGCTGTGTCGTTTATGAGAGCATCTATCCTCCCTTCTCTTTGTCTTCGTTTGCTTTTTACATCTAATTGTTTGCTCTTCTGTCAACAAATGAGTTTGCCTGTGTTTCAGTGATAGTTCTCCGTGTGATTTCACAGGAATGGTCCCCATCCCACAATCTGAAGAGCCTAAAGAAGAAGCAGATAGCAGCTAGAGAGGCCATCGCCCGACAGACCGTGTCGGATGCTGAGCAGAGTAGCGTTGAATCATCAGTCATCAGGCAAGTCTCCAGTCACTTTACAGTTGTGGTCTTGGATGATTCTTGTAAATAAATCAAATGCTGTGATTAATATTTCTGCCCCCCGGGTTTCAAGTCCTCTAGATGACTCGCTGATTAAAAAGAGCATTCTAACCAAGAACGAGAGTTATTCGATTTTTGTTCTACCTCCCACCTCCCAACCTCCTTTATCCTCACATCAGTCTCCTACAAGATGCTGAGAGCAAAGCAGAGACCAGCCAGGCAATCTCAGCCAGGGAGCACTTTGTATTCACAGACACAGATGGGCAGGTCTATCACATCACTGTGGAGGGCAACACAGTGAAGGATGGTGCACGAATTCCCCCTGACGTGAGTCTATTTTTTCCTTCTTTTTAATGTCTTCTTACTTTCCACCTGTAAACCGACGCGTGCCTAAAGCCTGTTCTACCCTCTAAGTGTTGTTCTCTGTAATGTTTCAGTTTTAATTACAACTTGATTTTGTTGAAGGTGAAAATCCACGCCTTTTATAAATACGGTTCCTGTTCTATAATGCAACCAACTTCATCACTGTCCAGTAGGGCTGCAACTGTTTTATATTGATTATTCTGTTGACCTGAACATACTCTGATGTTGCTTTTGAACGCTGATGCCGGTTGCCAAATTCTGTCCAGCTCTGACTTTCTGACACTGATTTTGGTAAATTTCAGTTTGTCATAAAAAGTATAATTTACTATAAAACTTTGATTGTACAAGTAAAAAAATATCATTTCCGCAAAGAGTGTGTAATATTTTAAATAGTATGTAATGCAATGTAGTAGTATTAATGTATGTTATTTAAGTTAATTAATTCATCTAGTCATTAACATTATGGACACAGGTGTTCTTGACCCTTAATGCCAGATGTGTAATAATAAGTGGCCTTTATTTGGTATAGTGTATTTTGTGGGGGATGAGCGCAGACTGCTTCGCTGCCGTGCATTGTCCGTTCGGGGTGGGGGGGGGGGGGGGGGGGGGGGCAGAGTGCTTCCTTTTCATGCGTCTGTGTGTGTGGGGATCTCGTAGCCGTGGCGCAGCGTCACGCCTGAGCCTTTGTAGGGGGAACATTGGTGTTCAACCAGAACAACTTCTGCAACAAATAACTTACATTTAAAGCTTCTTTCCGGAGTATTTCTCTAATCCCATGGCACCACCTAGTGGCTGACAAGCATATCACACAAAAAGCCTGTTGCTCTGTTTTTTTAAGATGGCGACTTCACGTTTCTGTTTATAAATGTCCTTCTGTAGCTGACAAACAGAGCTAAAACACGTTGTTTTACGAGTATTATTCTCATGTCATGTTGTGTTTTCATATATTTATATTTTAAAGACTTTCTTGTCCGTGAAAAGTTCATCAACTCTGCATCAGCCAAGGTACTCCTTAAATTTAAAGCAAGTAAGCGGTAGTCTAACGCTATTGGTTAGTTCTGGTCGGCGCTCAGTTTCCTTTTGCACGGAGCTCCGCGGGGCAGGGGGCGTGCTTAGCAACAAAAAAATAAATAAATAAATCGTATTGCTTATATTTAATCACAGTACATGATGAGACAATCACTTTACAGATTTCTGACAAACCATACATCATTTCTGAAAGGGGAAAACTTCGCAAAGCAGCTTTAAAAGCTTACCTGGCTGTTAGCCTTCAAATGAAAATGTTTAAAAACAAGCCATCATTATGGGCGGGGCTTTGTTACCTGTGCCGTCAGTAAACTAGATGGTTCCATTCAGCACATCAGTTAAACTAATTTATTTACACTTTAATTCATGATAACGTTCCCGCAGTTGCATATACTATTTAAATAATGTCTTCCGTCTGTTTTGTTAAGACTGTGAATATTTTTCTGGTTCATTTCTTCACACCTCTACGGCTCATAAGGGAGTTTTAAAGCCTTGTCTTTATGCAGGTTTGTTTAAGATGCTTAATACCCCAAAGGATTAACCGTGTTCAGGATGATAAAAGGTTTTTATTTCTCTGTCACTAAAGAGACAGGAACTCTCATGAGAAGTTTTATGATCCAATTCTGTAGATGGGTTTGCACGGAATGTTTTCACATTAGCCTTCTCTCTTTTAGTCATATGCTGTTTTTGTTTACCAACTGCAGAAGTTATTTCACTTTGTTTTTATTCTGTTTGTGCTCAGTCATTAAATTCTGGTGAGTGGGGTGTTGTATAGCAGAAGAAATGTGATGACTAACGCTGCTGAAAGTGAAAGTTTCAGTGACCTAGAAGCTGGCAAAATGAAAGTCATGGCATGTGAGCAGAATAACTGTTTTATAAACTACATTTATCAGAATCAGAATCAGAAAAGGTTTATTGCCATTGTCAGTGAACAAGCAGTTCACAAACTAGGAACTTACTTCGGTACTAATTTGAAACATATAACATGAATAATAAATAAAAAAAAAAAAAGAATAAGTAGAATAAAATATAATAAAACTAGCATAAAAACATTCAGCTATAAAAAAGGCAGGTAATGGTAATATGGCCGATAACGTGACGTTATGTCAAGTACAGCTCCAATTAAATGGAAGATGAGAGTTCAGACTGCAGGTCTGAGGAGTCATGCACATCTAGCTGCAGCGATCTGACGACAACCAAAGCAGTTCATGTGCCTAGGTGGAGGTGGGAGGGTCTCTGCCCTTCCTGCCCTGGGTTCCCTGTGTCAGTGCCTCGGCTGCTGCTGTAGATCTGCTGCTGCTGGGGCGGATGGCTCCCCTGATGGTGTTTCCTTATCCTTATCTTAGCTGGTCTGGCTCATCTGATCTCAGTCAGTCGTGTTTTTTTTACCATGGAGAAGGGGTCATGTATGTGTGTGTGTGTGTGTGTGTGTGTGTGTGTGTGTGTGTGTGTGTGTGTGTGTGTGTGTGTGTGTGTGTGTGTGTGTGTGTGTGTGTGTGTGTGTGTGTGTGTGTGTGTGTGTGTGTGTGTGTGTGCGCGCGTGTCGGTGTCGGTGCAGGATCGGCTCGGGGTCCTTCGACTGCCGATGACGTCAAAGTAGTTGATTGGCTGAACATGAAGCTTACGGAAGTGACGTAATCACATTATGATTTTGATTGGTCAGAACAAATTTGCGGTCGTAGTCTTAGCGGTTGTAGTCCTGTAGTCCAAAAATCAACACTTTTTGGAGAAAATATGTTTGAATTTCTAAAGGAAATGTAAAATATAAGCAAATGATAAACGGCGGCCCTCAAAAGCTCTTGATGTTGATAAAATGGGGCAAAATAAAATAAAATATAAGAACTTTATTGAAAGACACCAAGCACTATTTTGAGTCAAAGAATGTATTAAGATAACAACTAAGCAAATATACAGACGAACTCCACATTAATACAAACAGATATGGCTTCACGTATAAGAACTGTTCTATTTTTGTCAGTCCGATGTTGGTTTTATGCAGTTTCACATTCTTTACAAAACAAAGATAATATGCTAGCCTAGTGAACTAGACCAAATTCTTGCTTTGCAAAGTTTGGTCTAGGAACGCTCCACTGGAACCTCCGCAGCCCCTAACAGCATTCTGGCTGGCCAATCACAGCTCTCTAGAGGGGTTTCAAACACATAAAGTGCTGTGATTGGTCCATAATGGTGGGCCAATCATAGTGCTCTATCTGCTTAGTGAACAAATCACAGAGCTTTATCCGCTTTGTGGGCCAATCAGGGCACTCTATATGCCTGGTGGGTGGGATGATGCAACAGAGTGAAACAAGATGGCGACAGCTCGTTTGAAACAGCTTTTACATAAATTTTGGACAATTAGAACTTGGGCATCATTAGAATCAGGAGCAGATAGATGTATTTAAGTGCTTTTTTAAAGGAAAAATTATGTGTTTTCTCCTTTTTCAACTGCGGACCGCCTCATTTACCGATAGCTGTTGCGGTGAGTATGTCACATTCATTGTCCAGTAACATGCGGATCATTTGAAAGACAACGGTAGAACCCGCCTCACAACCGAGAGCCGTCAATGGAGCATTGCCAGACTAAATAATGCATTTATTTAGTCTGGCTTGCCAGGCTAATAATATGGTGTTTTATTAACAAATTACAATTATAAAGAAAACATTTAGGTGTTAACAAACAAGAATTTATTAACAAAACTGCTGATGTCTTTCCAAAACGTATGTGTGAAAGCCGAGTAGATTTGCAGTAATGTGACGTCATCGGCAGTCGAAGGACCCCGAGTCGATCCTGCACCCGAGCAGATCCTGTACCGACACTGGAGGATGAGTGTTGTGATGGGGTTTTTATTGTCAGACTGTTTTTAAAATGCTGGGGATGGGAGAGAATGTGGGCATGCGGGGCCTTTTTAATTTGTTAAGCACTTTGAGTTGCATGTATTGTAGGATAAAGTGCTTTATAAATAAAAGTTGATTGATTGATTGATTAGTTTTACTATTAAAAGTTTTTTTATACAGCTTCATGACTGGAAAATAGTAAAATCAGGTATTGCTCAAACGACTGCTGTGCAATTAGTGACTTTTGAGTTTTGATGTAGGCTCCAAGCAACCACAAAATTAAAACAAAGATTAGTATTGAATTTATTTTTGTCATAATCAGCTTTGCAAGCGCACCCTTAATGTGTCACTGCTGCTTCTTTTTTAGGCAAAACTCACAAACACTTCCACAGTTTAGACCAGGGGTGTCAAACTCACACGGGGCCGAAATGAAACTCTGGGACAGAGTCGAGGGCCAAACTTAATATTTTTTGAAAAAGTGACGGCAAATTTGCCCATTTTCCTTATCAACATATATGCAATTTTGAACCTTTAAATTTGGAAACAAACTTATTTCTGCATCAACACTGAATGTGGAATAACCAAATTACACACGAGCAAGTCAGTTTTAAATAAAAGGCATCAGTGGTATTCATTACTTGTGGTATAATCAGCATTTTTAAAATCTATTCAGGATTTATGTTTTCTTGTTTATTCATTTTTCTTATTTTTTATTCTCCTTTTTTTCTCCTGTAATACGTGTCATCGCTGCTGTGACGTCTAGCTTTCCCCACTGAGGAACAATAAAGGGATTTTCTATTCTATTCATCTATCTGCAGCCTTTCCACTTCCTGTTTACTGTAGGTTAAATCTTTTCTCACGGGCCAACAACAAAATAAAAATATCATTTTATCTTAAATGAAAATGCAACATCTCACCTGTTAACTTTCCTGTTTTGGAGCAGAAAAAGAGCATCAAACCAACATATTTAAAGCTCAGTTTGCTCCACTGGTTTACTGTGATGCTCACCTGTTCCAGCCAGATACCTGCATCATGGGGTTGATCTGAGCTGAGGAGGAGACTCCTGTTGTTTTGTTCATCTTCATCATAATAATGACAACATTAGATGACAACAGGTGCTCACATAGGTTTGTGCTGATGAACATGTCTGAGCAGCTTGACCACGTTGTTGTGTGTCGGGGAGGAAACACATCCACAGCAACCACAGAGTCGTGCTGGTTTGAGCGTGTCGCTGCTCGCTGGAGTTATATCAGCTCTGTCTGGACGTTAGTTGGAGAACTTTCTCTTTCAGTCGTGAACACATTACTGAGCGGCTAGAATCTCCGTTTCTGGGCTTCAACGTTAGAAAATAGCTGAGTGAACTCGGTGCTGAGTGAGAGGAGTGTAGTTTGTCCGAGACAGCGGAGCTGCAGAGACCGGCAGCAAACGCTGGAAAAAAACACAAAGGAGGGGGCGCTTTGGCTCTGCGCTGACGTCGCAAAGCGAGTTGAAGTCTTTGCGGTAAAATCGGCCAGCGGGCCAATTTTAATATACTTTTGATATTTATCTCGCGGGCCACATAAAAATGCTCTGCGGGCCTTGTGTCTGACACATGTGGTTTAGACTCTTAAGGGTTTTAATCACCACTAAACAGCACAACTCTTCCACCCACTGGAGTAAAATGGTTTACAATCCTTCTTCTTTAACATGTAAACTCTAGATTTTAGACATTACAAACTCAGAAACCTTCTGCTATAAAAACTTGATTATCTAGATTTATTCTTAAATGAAGCGTTCAAAAAATACGAACGTGTCCTATAAGAATGGAAAACTTTATATATTATTTCACGCTCTGAATAACAATGCTTTCTGTGTGTGTTACCATGTCACTTTACACTATGTGATGTAATTGAAGCATTTTTTTTTCCAACTCTGTGAATAATTGTCTTCATCAATTGTGTTTTCAAGTTTGAATAAAATACCCAGGATTATAATTTTGGGCAGCCTTGTTAATCTTCGTGGTTTTCCTGGATAAACCGTTGGTTGTTACGATAAAATAGAAATTCTGTTAAATATATCATATGGTAGACACACACAGCGGTATTTGAGAATTTAAAGTTTATAGGATTTACAGAAAATGTGCAATAATTGTTTAAATGAAATTAAGCAGGTGCATACATTTGGTTGCCACAAAAATTAAACTAACTCAATATTTAGTAGATCCTCCTTTTGCAGAAATAACAGCCTCCAAACGCTTCCTATAGCTTCCAGTTCTGGTTGAAGGTGTTTTGGACCGCAGTCCAAAGTCCACAGCACCTTATTCCTAAATGAAGCTGGCTTGTCCAGATGTGCTTTAGCATACCTCAAGCAGCTCTGTTTGTGCTGTGGGTGGAGAAAAGGCTTCACTCTCACGTACAGCATCTCCTTGTGTAAAGTGCGCCGAATACTTGAACGATGCACAGTGACTCCATCTGCAGCAAGATGATGTTGTAGGTCTTTGGTGCTGGTCTGTGGGTTGACTCTGAGACTTCTGAGATTTTTTTTTTGGTCTGCCTCTTGGAGCCTTGACTTGACCTGTGGTCTTCCATTTTCTCATTATGTTCCAAACTGTGTAAACAGACGGCATTCTGTGTCCTTCCCCTAAACCATGATGGTGAACAATCTTTGTTTTCAGCTCATGTGTGAGATGTTCTCAGACCCCATTTTGCTATTCTTCAGGATATATTCAAAGAGGAGAGAAACTTACAATTGGCCTCCTTAAATACTCTTTCTCATAAATGGATTCACCTGTATGGAGGTCAAGGGTCATTGAGCTTACCAAACCAATTTTGAGTTCCAATAATTAGTTCTAAATGTTTTGGAATCAATAAAATGACAACAGTGCCCAAATGTATGCACCTGCCTCATTTTATTTAAACAATTATTGCACTCCTTCTGTAAATCCTATAAACTTTGTTTCACTTCTGAACTATCTCTGTGTGTCTCCTATAGGATATATTCAAATTAAATGTTTTATCTTAACAGCCAACGATTTATACAGGAAAATCATTTAGATTAAATTAGCTTATTATTAGATTATCTCCAACTTTTCAGAAAATGAGCAAAGCATCTCTCCTGTTATATTTATTCTTTGTTTCTTTTCAATTATTACATTGGTTCTTATGTGCACAGAGTAGCAAAAGTTGGTGTTCTACCTTCATTTGTTTGCTGTTGGTTTCAGCTTGTCTGTTGCCTTCATCAGAGCACCTGCAGGTGTTATTGTGGTTTCTTCTGCTGCTGCTGCTGCTTATGTGTACACCTGCATGTGCTCTGATGAAGTTGACAGTGAAGTCAAAACAAAGAATCAGTATAACTTAGGACATGTTTTGCTCATTTTCTGAAATGTTGAAGATATAATGTTTTTGCCCAAGAACAACAAAGTTATTATCATGATTATTTTAGTCGGTATTGACTTCCCACTTCCTTGATTGCAGGGGAGTATGGGTAGTATTGCCTGCATTGCCTGGAAAGGTGACACCTTGGTGCTTGGAGATGTGGATGGCAATCTCAATTTCTGGGACCTGAAGGCTCGTTTGTCAAGGTAATAGCCAAACTCCAGCACAATAGTGTTGGTACATTAATCAAACTGCTGAGCTTTGGGGGTTTTAGAGAAAAGGTACTATTTAGAAAACTTATACCACAAATCTGTGTTTAATGATGGAACTGCAAAACAATCAGCAGATAAATCAGAGACTTGATTCATTTTGCACCATTTTCTGCTGAGTTATTAGAAAAGTAAAATCTAAACTTTAAACTGACATGGACTCAACATCAGCCCATCATATCACCAAGAGTCACTCAGGTTTGAGAAATCCATCATCAATAACGTATTATGGTCAGCAACTACATACAACTCTTCCTGTTTGCTCTCAGGGAATATGTTTGTTTGCTATCTGGGGATTCTCAGTCCAGTGGAATTATCTTTTAAATGTTTAACTTTTTCATGCAGACAACCCAGATTACCGTTTTTAGATTAAAAATGATCCATGCTTTTGATCTTCCCAGGGGAATACCAACACATCGTGGCTGGGTGAAGAAGATCCGCTTTGCTCCTGGTAAAGGAAACCAGAAGCTGCTGGTGATGTACACAGATGGAGCCGAGGTGTGGGACAGCAAAGAGGTGAGATTCTCTAGGCTGGCAGCACCAAAGCTAATTCCTTCAATCTAATCTTTATGGCAGATTGTTAAATCACAGCCAGGATCATTTCAGTGAGCCGCTCGGCTGAAACAAAGAGGAAGCAACTGTAATGGTGTTTAAGGTCAGCTTGGTTGGCATGCTTCCTGTGGCAGAGTCATTTGGTTTCCATGACGATGTACTACTGAAACACAGCAGTATTGTAGTTGGGTGTATTTAATTATTCTCTATCACAGCTGTAATTATTCTATTGCCCAAAGTCGGCGTTATGTTAATGGGAGAGTTCCCAAACTCTGGCAGGCCAGGCTAGAAGGGGGGTGGAGAGGAAATGTGGAGCAATTTTCTAAATGCTTCAACGCTCTGCTGATGGCGGGGTTACACTTGCTGCTGCCTAATAAAACCAGAGAAAGGTGTTTTTTTTTTTTATCAAACTGAGGCCCTGTCCACACGTAGCGGGGATCTGCCAAAACGTAGATATTTTTCTACGTTTTGACCTGTCATCCACACGAAAACGGAGTTTTTTCACACGAAAACGGATCTTTTTAAAAACTCCGGCCAAAGTGAAGATCTGCGTTTTCTCCGTTTTGGGTGTCTGCGTGTGGACGGACAAAACCGGAGTTTTAAGGTCCGCAACGTCACTTTCCACGACAAAAAAATGCTGACATCACGTGTGAGACCTGTGTTTACACTAGCCGACAGCATGGAAGCCCTCAGAGCTGCACTCTGTCACTACCCGATCCATCAATTGTCCAAGCACTTTTTGCTTGTTTGTTTTTGCAAGAGGAATTACTGCTCCTTGCGGAAGACCACAGACGAAGGACGAGGTTAAGAACGGGGGAAGTACTGCCGCCTACAGGTCTGGCATGTCCTTAACAACGTATTTATCCTGGTACGTGTGGACAGAGTTTGTTTTTAAAACGAGGTGGTGTGGATGCAAGTTTTTGGAGGGGCGGATATTCGTTTTTAAAAAACCCGGCTACGTGTGGACTAGGCCTGACTCTTTTGTTTGTTTTTTTTAAGTTAGTTTACACTTGTTTATCGTTGCTTCTTTATTCTGTCTCCGCTCATTTACATGTCGCTGAATAAAGTTTTACCATTATTCTGCTTTATTGGCGCATTATATAGAATTCGGTTAGTGTCAAATAAAAAGTTAGTAATTGTAAACTCACATTTTTGCTGTAACGGTTGCGGTTTTCAAACCCTCAGCTCTGCTGCCTTGCAGGTTCAAATGGTGAGCAGCATGCGTTTTGGTCGCAATGTGAACTACCGCATCTTAGACATCGACTGGTGCACATCAGACAAGGTCACGCTGGCATCGGACGACGGCTGTATCCGAGTGCTGGAGATGGCCATGAAGTCGGCTAGTTATCGTATGGATGAACAAGACCTGACTGGTGAGGGGGTCAGGGTGTCACGCTAACCCTTCTTATTACACTAAAGCAGATGAAATCCATGATTAGATATTTCTAATATGTTTTGTGCTGATTGATTTGTGTATAAAACGCTCAGATCCCGTGTGGTGCCCCTACCTGCTGCTGCCCCGGGCTGCCCTCACACTCAAAGCCTTCCTTCTACTGCAGCCCTGGTCTGGAACCTTCACTATGGACATCACCCAGGTGTAAGTCAAACACGTCACCAAACACGTGTCCACCCTAATAACTTCTTGGACTAAAACACGGAGGACCACATGTTGCTTAAACACATAAAACGTAAAAGCTGACTCAGGATGCTGGTCTGTTTAAATGGAGACGCTAAGAACGAGGGGTGTGTATCGGTGAAATTCTGGCGATACGATACGTATCATGATACGGGGGAGACGATGAAATATATCATGATATATTGCGATACATTCAGTCAGACGTTATTAGCGATTTTTTTGACTGAATTTACTGTAGGAAAATTCAGTCAACAGTCCAAACTTTTACCTAACATGTTTAACTCATTCACTGCCGGCCGTTTCCTGATCAGAAAGGCCCTTCGCTGCCAGCATTTTTCAGCATTTTCACAGTTTTTTAAAGTCAGAACGTTGCGCTCTATGATGATGTTAATGCTAAAACTAACAAAACAAAGCGGAGGATCCCCTCTTACATGTTTATGTTTATTTATTTGGCAGACGCTTTTATCCAAAGCGACGTACAATTTTTAACTTGTAGGGCATGTTGTGATCTGTGGAGGAAGCCCACGCATGCATGGGGAGAACACGCAACTCCATGCAGAAAGGCCACAGCCGAGTTTCGAACCTGCAACCTTCTTGCTGCGAGGCAGCAGTGCTAACAACTGGGCCACCATGCAGCCCACATCAGGAAGAATCTGCGCAGTTGGAGCGTTATCCGTTCTTTCATAATCCGTTGTTGAATTCTGATCGGCAGAAGCTTTTCCGGTTCGCACCTCACTTATTTTTTTTATAGCAGCGGCCCAAAATGATCTCCTAACACATGGATTTTCTGCTTCCTGGTCATGTGACGTGTGACGTACGCGGATGAAAATCGGCTTTAGAGCTGGGATGCTTGTTCTGATGGTGCGGGGGCTCGTTCCGATGCATACACGGTAAAAAAAAATGCAAATGCAGTGACCAGTTGGATTCAAAATAACGACTGTTGTCGTCAGTGGCAGTTAATGAGTTAACATGAGGTATCTGAACCATAATAGAAGGATTTATGTTGCAGTGTTGGAAACAAAGCCCACTGCACACTGCTTCCAACTAGTGGTCGGCGTTTGAATTGCACCAAAAGAAAAGAAAATACACAAATGTTTGCTTGTAAATTCTTCCAAAAATTCGATACACAGCTTTTGAATATCGATATAATATCGCTGGAACAAACATCACGATATATTGCCATATCGATCATTTCTTACATCCCTACTAAGAAGTTAACTTTAGTTGGAATTACCTCCAAACATTAATCATGGAGGAAAACTCCTTTAGGCTGGACTGCATTTTAACTTGGGAGTTGTTCGCTGCACAACTTGGAAATGAAGACAGATGAACGGATCCTCTAAGCTCCCTGGAGCAGCCTCAACACAGACGACAAGTTTGAATATGTATGCAGAAGATTCAGCGGTCATAAAATTATCTTCCTTTATTAATTATAAAGAGATGCTATTTTCAGACTGGTTCCTCGTTAGCACAAATATGAATCTTTTCAAATGAGTTCTCACAAAACTTTCCCTCCGTTTTTGATGCCCAACACTCTGTCTGAATCTAAACCCGACTCTGTTACACGCCACGTCCTCTATTTCACACTAAACATTTAGTTTCCATGTTGAGATGAACGCCAGCAGAGGCGACCTTGGGCCTTTCATTCGGTTCTGGGTGCATCATCACTTCCTTTGATCCTTTTTAATACGGCCGCCCTGTTCACAGCCAAATTAACTGCCTTCACCATTTGACCTCAGCATATCTGTTAGAATTGACTTCTCCTAACAGGTTGTACGATGTTGGTTCAGGTTTTATTTCAGGAAACATGAAAGGAGACATTTCATTTACTTTGATCTCCCCGTTTCAGAGATTACACTGAGAAAGTGGAGATAAAAGGCCTGATCCAGGAGCAGCTCAACTCATTGTCAAAGTAAGTTATTGCATTGGTTCTGTGTTTTAATGACAACTACATGCTGTAAGACACGCTGGATCGTCTGGGTTTATAGAGAGGAATGTTTACTGTTTTTTCCGGACTATAAATCACACTTTTTTTCATAGTCTGGTTGGTCCTGTGACTTATACTCCGGAGCAACTTATATACCAAATTATGTATACCGCGCTGCTGCGGACCGGCTCCGGACCAGGAATAAGCTCCTCTGCCCCGCCATCACTTCAGGGTTCCCACGCGTCCTGGAAAACCTGGAAAATGATAGTCCAATTTTCCAGTCATGGAAAACACATGGAAAATGGGGGGAATTGCAAAATGTCCTGGAAATTTTTGAGTTGTCCTGGAAAATAATTTTCCCTCCTTGTGGATAAACAAACAGATTAAACATTTTGGGCAATATTGGGCTGCAGCGCTTCTCCTTTAATTTCTGCATCTAGCTGGCACAGCGCCCCACATGACGCTTCCAACCAATCAAATTGCATATTCCCCTTCAGTTTCAGTTCCACTTCTGTTTTTCCAACTGTCTTTTTGGCTAGATTTACAGATTTTTCACCCCTAGATTTATTTCTCTAAAGAAGGGCCAAAAGTAGCGACTCGGTTCACGAGTATTGCTTTATCGCAGTTTATAGAGCGAGAGGTTTTTCTCCTTCTCTCTGTTGAGTGACAAAGGAGCAGCTTTTGTTTTTTTTCACTCATGCGATGAGACGAGCGAACATGAGGAGAGCTTTGGGATAGCAACGGATTGCAGGTAGTCTGCCGGACCCGCGCTCCACTCAGTAATTCATACTTGTTCTATCGTCCAACAGCAGATACAGAAATATGTGAATGATAAAAATGTCATGAATTCGATTCTATCAAAATACTAAGTATGTGCTCAGAGGACAGAGCCTCAGCTGTTGATACTATTTTTAGCTAGCTACACAGACCGCAGCCAGGAGGCAGTGAGAACTGAAGACTGGCATGGTCATTTGAACAAAGTTGTTAACGTAATTAAATTGAATTCAACACGGCTAAATTAATAACTAGAATGATTTTAAGTGGTAACTATATATTTATCATAGTAATGCTACGTACAGTCCAGACTAAAATGGTAGCGAACAACTACAAGTACTTATCTCCGAGGTACTGAGAACTGTGTGTCCAAGCTTCTCAAATGCAGCCACCCTACTACATGCCCACTTGACCCCATTCCAATTAAGCTGCTCCAAGCTGTTGCTCCTACAGTAGCCGCAGCAGTCACACATGTGGTCAACGCTTCACTGACATCTGGTACATTTCCCACCTCTCTCAAGCATGCTCGGGTTAAACCGCTGCTAAAAAAACATCTCTTCCTCCAAATCATGTGGAGAACTACCGACCTATCTCTCTCCTCCCTTTTCTGTCCAAAATCATTGAAAGGGTGGCTTTCAAGCAGATCACAGAATACCTCTCACAAAACTGTCTGCTAGACCCTTACCAATCTGGGTTCAAAAAGGGCCACTCCACTGAAACTGCTCTGTTAGCAGTGACGGAATCCTTAAAAGAAGCTAGAGCGACTGCCAAATCCTCAGTGCTTATCCTGCTTGACTTATCGGCTGCATTTGACACTGCCAACCATGGCTTCCTTTTGTCCACACTCTCTAGCATGGGCATCACAGAGAAAGCACACGCCTGGTTTGAATCGTACCTCACAGGACGATCATTCAGTGTATCTTGGCTTGGACAATCCTCTACCGTGCACCATCTTGCCACAGGAGTCCCCCAGGGCTCCGTACTAGGACCTATTCTCTTTGCCATACACACCACCTCACTGGGTGAGATCATTCGATCACATGGCTTCTCCTACCACTGCTATGCAGACGACACCCAGCTCTATCTGCCATTTCTACCGGATGACCACACTGTCTGCACGAATATCAAACTGTCTCTCTGACATATCAAAATGGATGAAATCCCACCATCTCCAACTCAACCTCTCTAAAACTGAACTACTTGTCATCCCAGCAAAACCATCCATACAGCACAATATCTCAATCCAAAATGACTCCCTATCTCTGAATCCTTCAAAGGCAGTTCGAAATTTGGGTGTTGTGATTGATGAACACCTGACCTTTAAAGATCATGTTGCCTCTGTTGCTCGTTCATGCCGCTTAGCGCTGTATAACATATGAAAGATCAGACCATACCTAACACAACACGCCACCCAGCTCCTGGTGCAATCTACTGTCATCTCCCGCCTCGATTACTGCAATGCCCTTCTAACTGGTCTTCCAGGCTGTACTGTGAGACCTCTTCAAATGGTCCAGAACGCAGCGGTGCGTCTGGTCTTCAATCAGCCTAAAAGAGCACACGTCACCCCTCTGTTCATTGAGCTCCACTGGCTACCGCTAGCAGCACACATAAAATTCAAATTGCTAACACTAGCATACAAAGTCCGAGATGGTACGGCTCCCATCTACCTGAATCCTCTTGCAAAGGCTTACGTCTCGGCCCGGCCGCTCCGTACATATCAGGATCGTCAGCTAGCAGTGCCTACACCACGCTCAGGACAATCCAGACTCTTCTCATGCATCGTTCCACAAATATGGAATGACCTTCCAAGCACTACCAGAACAGCGGCTTCCTTTTCAATTTTCAAGAAATTCCTGAAGACCCTGCTCTTCAGAGAGCATCTTCTAAACTAGCACCCTCCCTGCACCCGCCCCCCCTCTCTACTGTCCACTCCTTGTTCCCTACTCTCCATGATTGATGTCAAGTTGTTGTTGTTGTTATTGTTGTTGTTAGCCTCAAGGGCAATGTGCCGATTATCACTTGTAAGTGGCTTTGGACATAAGCGTCTGCTAAATATATAAACATAACATAAACATAAGTGGAAGACCTGAATGTCTTCTTTCTTTCTTTCTTTCTTTCTTTCTTTCTCTTTCTTTCTTTCTTTCTTTCTTTCTTTCTCTTGACAGCTCACTCTCTCTTTTCCTACCTCTTTGTATCTATCTTTCTGTCTGTCTTTCTCTCTCTCTCTCTCTCTCTCTCTCTCTCTCTCTCTCTATCTATCTATCTATATATATATATATATATAGATAGATAGATAGATAGGATTAGTGCTGTGAAAAATAATGCGTTAATTTAGTTAATTAATTTGACATGTTTAATGCATTAAAAAAATTAACGTAATTAATGCAGTATCTAAAGTTTTACATAATCCGACACCTCAAACTCATGAGCGGCTCTGAAGGAGGGGGCAGCATTGCGTTATGCTGGTGTCTGACCTGCTGGAAATGATTAGAAGTAGCAGAAGCAGCAGCAGCAGAAAAAGAGGCGAGGAAAAGCTTGCTAGCATGGACAATGCTGTCCATGGAGCGCTGTCTAGATCGGTACAAAGCATAGCCCAAAATGGATATTGGACACTGCCCATTACAGTGGTGGTCGAAGAGAGAAGAAGCACATTCCAAACTGGCACCTGTTGCATGCAAGTACCTGTCAACCCCTGCAACCACAGTGCCTTGTGAGAGATTATTCTCACTCTCAGATCACATTGTTGGTGTGATCCAGGCTGCTACGTCCAGCGCACGGTCCATTCTCAAAGTGGCTCAACCAAAAAACTATCATTAACCCACGAACGTTCATGTCCGCACATGTTCTCTACTTTCTGTCTTATTTGTGCCTGAAGCGCTCTGCTACTGCGGAGCTCATCACCTGTGCTGCAGTGATTTCACCTCACTGACGTAGCATCGAAACTCGCACTCCGCTTTGCCGTCAGAAGATCCCTTCGATCTTCTCAAAAGTAACTGATGAGGTGAAAAAGTAAGAATCCAGGCAGCAGTTTTTTTTCTGGAGAGTTTAGAGGAGATGCAGGAAGATGAGAGACAGACAGGACAGGAAAATAGTTAAATAAAAACAAGAAAACAAAACAAAGTGTTGAAAAGTAAAACGTAGTTAGATTTATCTCCACTACACGTTTTTACCCGTATAAAGCAGTAAGTTATACACGTCATATTCATACATGTGATATAATTCAGATCACCTTCAAATCTCTGTCACAAACCCAGAGCCTTTTCAAGGCATTCTGGGGACCGAGGCACCCCCCCCCCAATAACTGGGCTCCCCAGAAGCCTCTGTGTAATTCATACCCTGTCCAGGAGTGTTAGTTATACAGTGTTTATAAAAGCCCCTCACACATTACTGACATGTCCTAATATTATCAGATGAAAAACTAACTTATCAAACATGCCGTCTCATCTGCTGCTTTTCCAGACTTGCAAAAAGTAACAAAACCATTTGAAAGCCACTATTTGTGGATTCTCTGAAAGTTACTATGGAGTCTGTGACAACTATTTTTTTCATTGAGAAATATAAAGTTGGAAAAAAGTGTAAGAGCGGCCAGACTAATGATCAGATAAATTGTGATTAATCACAAATAATTACAGAAAATTGTGCGATTAATTAGTTAAATTTTTTAAACGACTGACAGCACTAATTTAATAATATATTTATATTTATATATATATTAATATATTTTTATATATGTATATATGTCTTTCCCCCTCTCTTTGTCACTCTCTCCCCCCCTCATACTCACTCACCCCCCATGTCTCTCTCTCACCCTCTCAATCACTCTTCCCCCCTCTATCTGTCACTCATTGTCTCTTTCTCTCTCTCTCTCTCACTCACTCACCCCTCTATATCTCACTCATTTTCTCTAATCCTGTCTCTCTCACCCCCACCCCCCCCCACCCCACCCCACCCCCTTGCTTCAGTGTGTTTTCTTCTATCTAAATTGCTAACGTGGCTGAAGCCAACTGTTAGTGTCGCCATGGTTACACCTCCGTATCATTTTTTGGATTAAAGGCATACTGGGAAACTTTCATATTTTTAAATAATTTCCTCGAGCCATTATATGCTACAATGACCGATTACAGGGGTAATGAAATTTCACTCAGACCCCATTGCCCTCTGTGGCCAGAATACTGCAACTGCAACTTCAGAGTTGCCGGGCCACTACCTGCTGGTGGGGGGAGCTGACATGTTGGAGCTGCTGAGGAGACGTTTCAGCAGGTAGATGAAGGTGTTAAAAAGACGAACGCACAACCAGGAGATACGTTTCACTTTTGCTTTGACCACAGAGAATAATAACGGACACTAGGGGGTGCTAAAAGCAAGCAAAGCTGCCAAGTGTGCCTTTAAAACATCTTTTAGATGCAGCAACCACGTACTCTAACATGTCCAGAAGGACGTGAGAGTAATGAGACCCACCAACATAAATTGTGTTATGACAGATAAGAAGAGACGCCTCACTTGTTTTTAAGGCTGATGATTTGTTTGTGATTGGCTCCTCAGTGACATGAAGAGTGTCCTTCAGGACCCAGAACTCAGTCTTCTGCAGCGCTGCCTCCTCGTCTCACGGTGGGTCACACAACTTTCTGCTTTTGACTGTACAGGTACCGCAGCACTGGGGTTTACATCACCTGTAACTACACAGTAGTTACCATTTTTACCTGTTACTGTTTATTTAGGACTTTTAATAGTTATAATACATCTGCCAAAATAAGAAAACATTCTCTTCACAGTATTTAGGATTTTTGGCACGAGAGCTGAAGTCAGCAAATCTGATTCAGTTTCTGCTTCGGCTCTCATTTCCCTTGAGCTCCTCACACATCTCCATCAGCCGGTCGGAGCAGAAATACAATATCTTCCCCTGCTTGCATCCTGTTATTAGAGTCTTGATTTATCACACACTTTTTATTAGTATTTTTGTTTTGGAGTGATGCGGCCTCCCCGTCACAGAGAACTCACGGTTATGAGGTTATGATGTTGGCTTGTCTTCGCCGTCGAACTTCAATGCCATTGTTAATGTTGTACGGTAACCTAGCAACAGCTGTGTGAGGCTGCTGTGGGAAGTAAATGATAGAGGAAAAGGCGGGGGGGGGGGGGGGGGTGTGATGGAGCGAGGCGTGGGCTGCAGGAAGCAGAAAGAAAGTGTGGTCATTAGTAAGTGTAGTAGTTAGAAAGTGTGACCCCTCCCCTCCATAACCAGCTGATGCATCTCCGTGTTTGACTGCAGCCTGTTCGGGGACGAGTCCGACCTTCACTTCTGGACGGTGGCGTCCCATTACCTCCAGTCTTTTGCACAAGCTCGTCAGTTAAGTGTGAAGGAGGGAGGTGAAGAAAGCCAAACCTCCCCCCAGATCCACCTGGACATCTGTCACGATGTCCTCTGTGAGAATTCCTACTTTCAGGTTGGTAAAATGTCCTCCCCACTCGCGGTCCTGAGTTACTCCAGGGTTCCTGGTTTTACCTTTTTCTTTTATTCATCTCTTTCTTTCTCTTCCTCCAGTTAAAAACACTCATTTATGAAGAAACATCTCTTGTTGACGACACAACTGAGCCAAGGCTTTTATAGACAATACTCAGAACCCGCGATTGTTAAAGTCGTTTCTTTTGGACTCCTTTGAAGTTACTTGAAAACGTTGAAGGCTTTCACCGTTTCCAGATAGTCTTTCACTTATTTTTTCTTGTTGTTTCGCAGAGATAGACCAGAATCTGAGAGTTTAAAGAACCCCAGGAGATCGTTAGGAAAGGCAGCTTTTGGTTCTGTGTGCTTTTTCTGTCCACATTCTGGGGCTTTAGACACAAGGAAGAAATTGTTCCCTCAATCGGAATATTTTGGAGTTTTTGGGTGGCGTTAAGGTTTTTAGTCGAGTTTAAACAAACGGTCTCATTTCAGCTGGAAGAGGTCCAGTTATCTCTCCCAAATAGCTATGTAATGTTGTTTCTGGTGAACTACCAGCTCTCTCCTTTTCATTTTATTGATTATGCTTTGCTGTTTTTGCCAGTTTTTTAACCGCTTGTTAATGAGGGGCCATGCAGCGACCACAATGTTCGGACTTCTTCAGAGCCACCCAGACATTCTGCTGCAACATTTGGCGCAGTTGGACATAAAACTGCTGTGGCAATGATTAATAGCCAGAATTTTCAACTCAGAACAAACATCTCTGTAGTTACTTAACTCATGTAGCATCCCTGCTCAAAAAAGTCACCTTAAGGCAAACTTTTTTCAGAGCGCACCATCTAGAGGCAGAAAAAATGTATCGCACCTCCCGCCGACATCCATACGTCTAAAAGCATCGCCTCTAGCTGCGCAACAGAGCAAAACATCATTCTTTTGCCATTATTATTTTCATGTTATACTGTTTAGTCATTTGTAAATATATATTTAAAAGATGTACCCGTCCATAAGAAATGTCGCCAACTCTGCATATGTCGAGCTATTTCTACAAACGAACGTGCACGCTCTGTGATTGACATATGTCCGTAGGTGGATGTCTAACTCCACAGTCTAATGATGAGAAACATACAATTCAGTATGCATGGGGCTCTATGGGACAGGGATGGGCTTACCAGCCTTTTCCATCAGATGCATAACGTCCACGAAAAGTAGTACTCAGCAATTAGCCGCAGTTATAGTGGATGGGTGCATTTCCACAGGCCGCAAAGCGTTACGTTTCAGAAGCATAGAGATGCGTTGCCTACGCTTTTGATCTATTTTCTATACGCTACGCTTTCTAAATGCGTCAACCTCAGCAGTTCTTTTTGGGTCAGACAGGAAGTAAACATGAAAGAAGTGTAAAATATCCAGAAACTTTCTAAATAAAAGCCACATGCAGATTCCCAGTTGCTTATGTAACATCCACAAACGGTCAGTTTTTCATGTACAGTTTGACCAGTATCTGGTCATATGGAGACAGGAGTCTACATTTGTTGCCTTTAATCTGCCGGATCCTGCCATTCCATCAGCTGGAGTCCGGGCCTCTCTGCAGCTCTGAACACATGATAACCTATTGTCAACATCATGTTCCCTTCTCAAGGTTCTTCTCTGCCAAGGCTGTCTGCTTATCTAGGCTGTCCTGCACAGAATAAAGGACTGAACCGTTATAGTAAATAATCGTATGGTCGAATGAACAATAATGGTTGATGAATAATAATAATGTCTTGATTAATCTGTGCTTAAATTAATAAGGTTGATTAATCTGTGCTTGAATTAATAAGGTTGATTAATCTGTGCTTGAATTACTGAAGTTGAAACGAATGTTATTATGATGATCAGTAATGTTTGGTTTAACAAGTGAATCATTATCTACACTCAGACGCAATGTTCATTAGAGATCAATTAAAGTGAAAGTAACATCGCTGCACATAGATATTTTCTTAGCCACAAATCAGAGCATCCTGTATCTGAAAGAAGGCGGGATGTTCTGAGGGTTTGTTGTTAACACCTCTTAACACGGCACGTCCCGGTTGGCCAAGAAATCATAATATGAGAATATTAAAACAGAATCACTGGAGAGTGATTCATCATTCCATCATTCTGTGAGATTCAGCATCCTTAGTTGAGCTAACTCTGACTGGCCATCGAGGGGAAACTCTGCTCCCATCGCATCTCTTGACAAGCTAAAAGCTGCCTACAGTTGACACAGCGAAACGATCCCTTCAGCTATTCAGAAACGGCTGTTCTAGATGCAAATTAATTCCAACCTGTGTGCCTGGTGACATCTCTGGACTGGAGCGTCGGTGCTGCGGTTAATCTGCTGAACCTCGGTGCCCAGAGGTCATCCGACCTCCCTGGCCTCCGGATCCGTGAAGAGGGTCCCCAAAGAAAGGGTGAGGTAGACACACATGATTGGGTCTGACGACGTTTTGATAAGAACCAACTTCATAGTTTAATGCAAACCAAATTCTTTTTCACACCTAGAACTCAGTTCTTCTAGATACAAGATTCTGATAAACACACACCATTAAATCACCATACATCACGTCTCATCCTCTTAGATTCATCCATCACAGTAGCCTTGGTTAACTTTAGGGATGTTCCGATCAGGTTTTTTTTGCCCTCGAGTCCGAGTCATTTGATTTTGAGAATCTGCCGATACCGAGTCCCGATCCGATACTTTCGATACATAAAAGAAAAGGAACAAACAGTTCCAGAATGTTCCTTATTTTTTATTTAATTACCTTCGCGGATACAAGCGGCCGAAATGAGTTTCCTCCGTAGGGTGGCCGGGCTCAGCCTTAGAGATAGGGTGAGGAGCTCGGACATTCGGGAGGGACTCGGAGTAGAACCGCTGCTCCTCCGGATCGAAAGGAGCCAGTTGAGGTGGTTTGGGCATCTGGTCAGGATGCCTCCTGGACGCCTCCCCGGGGAGGTGTTTCGGGCATGTCCTGCCGGCAGAAGGCCCCCGGGTCGACCCAGGACACGTTGGAGAAGTTACATCTCCAATCTGGTCCGGGAACGCCTTGGGGTCCTGCCGGAGGAGCTGGTGGACAAGGCCGGGGAGAGGACGGCCTGGAGCTCCCTAGTTGGGATGCTGCCCCCGCGACCCGGACCCGGATAAGCGGAGGAAGACGACGACGACGACGATTTTCATTTTTAACAACAGATCACTTCTGTGAGGTAGCTTGAACGATCAAGTAATAAATAACATAAATTCTTCACTTTTGGACTTTATTGCAAATATAAAAAGTCTAGTATAAAAACAGAGAGCACTTCAACTTAAAATACCTGGCAGGGGTCTACTTTGCCTCGGCCCCCAAAATGCTTAGATACGCCCCTGGGCATGGGACGGAGTTTTGAAGATGATCTGAATTGTATCAACTATATAAATACTACATGCTGATAAATTATTGCTTTATACAGGTACAAACGTGTAGTGGGATCAATCTACCTAAACTTCATTTTTTAAGAACTTTGTTTTGTTTTCTTGGTTTTTATTTTCCTGTCTTCCTGGCCTGTCTGTCTCTGATCTTCCTGCATCTCCCAGTCCCCCAGAAAAACTCCTGCCTGCTTCCTTCTTCTTCAGGAACTTTTTAACCAGCAGATCAAATTGATCTATTGACCACAAAAAAAGCGGGACGTGCGCCGCGCTGCCCGGCTGCTCCAGTGACGAGCGCTGCAGCGCGAGCGCGTCCACACGTCATGCTCAAGTAGAGACAGAACTTACCAGAGAGAAAATGAACGGACACGAATGACTGTGTGTTAATTATATATTTTTTGGTGACGCCACTTAGAAAATGTGACTGTGGCCGTGTGCAGAACGCAGCTGGAGTTCATGAATAATCAGCGGTCTGCCTGCTGCTCTGCTCAGAAGAATCCCCGCTACGCTGAGTCCATATAAATAATAGAATAAAGGTAGAAACTGGATCTTTTGTGCTCCTTCTGGGTGTGTAAGCTAAGGGCATCAGGGGAGCCTGACAGCCTTTAAGGAGATCCAAGTTGCTCTCCTGTAATTTGAACCCAGTATCCAACTCCGGATCGGGAAGTAAAGCCCGAGTCCCGATCTGTCTGAAACCTCGTGATCGGGGCCGATCATGTGATCGGATCGGGACATCCCTAGTTAACTTGACATGTTTTTATTTGTTTAGAAAATAAATGTCTTATCTTTTATAAACCTGACTTTGTCTGAATTGAGACAAAGTGTGTTTGATCCCTGAAAAAGCAAAGAATTCTAGAATCTTCTGATTAAACATCCAAAGACCAAGCAGGTTGATATTCTATATTTACAGGTGCTGGCCAGTAAATTAGAATATCATCAAAAGGTTGAAAATATTTCAGTAATTCCATTCAAAACGTGAAACTTGTACATTATATTCATGCAATGCACACAGACCAATGTATTTCCGATGTTTATTACGTTTAATTTTGATATTTATAGGTGACAACCAATGAAAACATCAAATCTGGTATCTCAGAAAATTAGAATATTCTAAAGGCCAATGAAAAAATGTTTGTTTCTCTAATGTTGGCCAACTGAAAAGAATGAACATGAAAAGAATGTGCATGTATAGCACTCAATACTTAGTCGGGGCTCCTTTTGCCTCAATAACTGCAGTAATGCGGCGTGGCATGGACTCGATCAGTCTGTGGCACTGCTCAGGTGTTATGAGAGCCCAGGTTGCTCTGATAGTCGTCTTCAGCTCCTCTGCATTGTTGGGTCTAGCGTATTGCATCCTCCGCTTCACAATACCCCATAGATTTTCTATGGGGTTAAGGTCAGGCGAGTTTGCTGGCCAATCAAGGACAGGGATACCATGGTCCTTGAACCAGGTGCTGGTGGTTTTGGCACTGTGTGCAGGTCTCAAGTCCTGTTGAAAGGTGAAGTCTGCATCCCCATAAAGTTGGTCAGCAGCAGGAAGCATGAAGTGCTCTAAAACTTCCTGGTAGACGGCTGCATTGACCCTGGAC